CGGTTTTTTGACAAAAAAAAAATTTAAATATTTTAAACTAAGAAAAGTGTGAGGAAAAATCTATATTTTTAGTGATAACACGAGTTTAAATAGTGCTCTTTAAAATGATTTAAAGTAAATTTAAAATGAGAGGAGGAAAAAAAAGTAAGATAAAGAAGAAAAGTCAGAACGAAACAGAAAAAGAAGAATTGAGTGATCCAAAATGGCTGAAGACAAACTTGTATTATTATAACTACTAGTTTGTTTCGTAAAATTTGTTTCTGGTTCTTTGTATTATTATTTTTTTTTAAATGAGGTTCTTTTTATTATTTTGTTTTGTTATAAATGTGTTTGTATTTTTCTTTGAAATGTTTGTTACAGAAAAACCAATTATTGGTAGAATTTCAAATTTCTCTAAGCTAGTGGAACCATAGTTTGTTATTTTTGAAATAATACAACTATATAATGAGAATAATAACCAATTAGAGTGTCATACGCGGGGATAATACCAAAATGACTATTGTATTAATTTTATTCCTAAAATTGTATATCTTATTAATTCTTTGATCTTTATATTCGCGGAAAGATTTAACAAACATAAATTGACTATGGTATTTAAACTATATATTTCTAACAAATGATTGCGATTAAAGATATATGATATGAACTATCATATACAATTTGATTTATGTATTTTTAAAAAATAAATGGATAAAAAAGATATTATGTTTTAATTCGTTAATAACATATTAATGAATTATTTGCCCGCGCAAGGGCGCGGGTAACACCTAGTATCTTGTAGTTTAGTAGATTTTGAATATCTAATATAATATTTTAATATTTTTTTAAAACTAAAGTTATGAGAGGCTGTCATGTGTCATCTAATTTTTTTGACTTTTGGGGTTTTTAATTTATTTATTAAAAAATTGAAAATTAAATGTCTTTTAATAACTTTATCAACTAGTTCTAACAATTTAATAGGTAATTCTTATGTAAATTAATTTCAACAAATTACATTTAACTGTCTTATGCAC